GTCCTTTCCAACCTTAGTGATTCTGTGAAGACGGGAGTGTTTTGAAAAAGCCTTCTTTTACAGCACAGGCCAGAGTATTTTACCCATTTTCCCCCTGCAGAGCTCAAAAACTGCATTTTATCAAATCTTCATTTGAAGATACCAAGATATGAAAATCTACATTTCTTTGAATATGAAAGCCTTTCAGCAAGGGCTGAGAGCAACTAGCATGCCAAGTCTAACCACCAGAGCTTCAACTTAAAAGTAGAGAAATCCTGAAGCTCACTATCAAATTAAAAAGTTTACAGTCTTTCCATTTGTCAGAAAACTACATCCAGTAAAGGTGCCTGGTGTTGGCCTCTGGAGAGAACATTAAAAATTAAATAAGGTAGAGTGACAAAGAGAATGGAGGCATGTTCACTCAGAGTAGTGGGAGAAGTACCTTCTTACTTCACCTGTCGCATCCTATTTTAGATTTATAAAAACAAGCAGAGATTCAAATTAATTTCTAATTGCCTTTCAAAAAAAGAGGCAAATTCAGACACTTACCTGTTATGCTGAAACATTTCACGTGCTACCTTTGCTTCAACATGCAGTGTTTCAAATGGCAGGTCTTTATCAATTAGCTTTCTGGCATCCCTTGTAAGAGAACGGAAGTTGTCCTAAAAAAAAGAATTGACACATATAGAACTGTCACCACTCTTCCACAGCTGTGGTGAACAGACAAAGCACATGAAATACTAAATATTAGTCAAAACAATAACGATCATCTACTGTAAACCCTAAATATAATAATATTGCTGTAGGATTGTAACTCTTACTATTTATCAACAACAGATTGCTACAGATCATTGATGTTTGAATGGACTGATTTGATGCCCAGTGAAATCAATAGGCTTTTTTCCATCTGAAACAATATATATTAATTGAAGTTAAACTTCCCAGGTTTTCCCAACATGATATATACACATACAGTCTTGCTACTGGTAAATATTCATCTGTGGATCCTGTTTCCCAGAGTCATGATTCCACTTATAAGTGACCCCTGTTCTGATGGAATCCAAAATAAAAAGTACTGAGTAATTAATAAATAGACATTGATCACCTTGGACCAGAATCCAAAACTCTGCATACTCAGATTTGTCAATAAGAAAGAAATTGTTATTAGGAGAAATTACATTTATAATGTCACTGAGAAAATATTTCAAACTAAGTTACTTCAACTACAAGAACACACTGAAAAAAATTCTGCATCCTTCCAACGTTGCTTTGCTAGCCATACACACTTCTGCTAATAATTGGGCATGAGAACAAAAATAGGCACCAGACATGTGAAACATTTGTGACCACACCAGCTACTAAATGCTTATGAGACTTAAAGGTCTGCAGATGACTAGATTTACTGAAGAGCATGAAATATAAGGAAGCTACTAAGGAAAGCTTCAGCGAAACATGCTCACGGTTCTTTTACAACAATAACCTGATTACGCTGTAAACCACTAGGTGAAAACACACATATTACATACATTTTATTTTCAGAGTGCTCTATTCACACAAAGGGCTATGGCTGCATCTACACTACCAGACAAGAGCAGCTGAGTAGGAGCAGACCTGTATAGTAACAAAGATGGCACTGAGTGCTCAACAGCCATGCCAACTGTTTTTAGAATTGTATTTCAGACTAGAACTACTCTATCCCCATACACCTAAAAACCTGTAAGCATTTGGAGGACATCTCTAGGTTTAATTTCATCTGAAAGGAACCCAGTTTGTGTGCTGAGAGACCACTCTGCCATGAAAGCCAGTATGTGGTAAATGCAGTGATTGATTTCCAAAGAGTACTACTGATCCAATATAAAACATTACTGTAGATATACCCTATGAAAAGGGGAAAAAAAAACCTTACTGGCCCCTCTCCCCCATTAGAAAAGAACCAGTGGACAAGGCTCCAAGCTTTATAACGTTTCGAGGAGGAAGTTATTTTGCTTACATTTGTTGGTTTCCAGTCATTCAGTCTATTGTCCAAAATTACATCATAACAGAAAGCTCCAGAGATCACTGCAATTCCAATTCCAAAGAGAAAAATATTAATGTTTGTGACAATGAACCTATTGCATTGCCATAATGTACACTTATAAATTTATCAAAATGAATTAAAAGAAAAACAAAATTATCTCAAGAAATCCATTATAACATATAAATTTTCAGCTGTGATTATACAGTCAAATGGCAGATTAATCCTGTATCAGGTCACAGATGAGCAAAAGTTGTAACTAACCCTGCTTGTACTTCAGTAATCTTCCAACTTGATGTATACATCCTAATTTTTAGTAACTCCAGTGCTCACAAGGTTATGTAGTTATTAGGGCAAATTTCACAGAAACACATCGTATCTTCTAAATACCTTACTCATGTAACTTCACAACAAAAAGGTTATGTCCTTAAATTGCTAACTTAACCTATGAAATCCTAAGTGCTCTGAAACCCATGTGCCACGCAAACCAGTCTTCTGTACTTTGATAACAAAATCGTTTTCAGTGCGATTGCTACAAATTAAAGGCTACAACCACAATACATGTAATACACGGATTAATAAGTACCTTAAATCATTGGAAAAGGAGCCTCTGATTTTTTTGGTAACACTATTAGACACTCACTTAAGAAGCACCAAAACAAAAGACAATCAATATAAAACACTTATATCACCTGGCACTTCTAGACATTTAATCAGATTCACTGAGTACTCATCTTTGAACGCTCGCTTTAACACACACGCCATGATCATGGCACAGGAACGCCAATAGGCCTATAAAGAGAATTTCAAAACACAGATTTATTACCGAGAAGCTAACAACCCATACCAGATGAACATCAGCCATTTATTCCAAAAGAACACCGACATTTAACTGAATTAGGTACAAACCTGCCTGTCAACCCAAGCATTACCTTCTTTACTATTTAAACTTCTACTTGTAGATTATTCTCCATATAGAATCAATCAAAAAAATCAAAACTGTACTTAAAATGCAAGCCAGATGTTTCCCTTGAGGTATTTGGTATTATGGAATATCTGGTATCATTTGATATCCGAAATTATAGAATAATACAGCATAGCTTGAAAGGGATGCCTGCACATCACCTAGCCCACATCCTGGTCCAACTAACAATAACCATGATATGCCAACTGTGAAAAATATCTGAACTTTCACGACAAAGTTCAAGAAAGCAGACAGACATGGAACTGAAAGGGGCATACAGAATCGAGTGGTCATAATCAGGCTCACCTACAATGGGACAAGATGCAGACTTACCTTGTTTACTTCCTCTGGATCTTCATCTTTGAAAGTAAGGAACTGAATTTCACATGATTTGGTCAAGGGTCTGTACATATCCCAGACTTCACCATCCACAAGAGCTAGAACGGATTTCTTGCAATGCCATTCACTTAAGTCTAAAGAAAATGAAAAATATATTACATAGTTATTAGCCATACTCTTCAGAGTCAGCAGTTTTAGACCTCCGCATTTGTAACAACAAACTGGAAGTCTCACTTTTGTAAATGACTTGGAAAGATGAGGTGTTAATAGGGCCTCCAAAAATTAACTCTGTTTCTGCTGATGTATTTTAGTACAAAAGTATTTTAAACATACCAACTACAAATATTCTGACTGTTTGTCTGTTACCTTGGTCAATAAAATGTCAATAATAGTAACATTTCAGATTTGCATGACAAGTACTGCAATTGGCAGTGCAATTTTCATCACGAACGGCACATTAGTTTAAAAGTCCATTCACTTACGCATGGCACAATTGTATGGAGTAGACAAAGCTTTGTTCATTACAAACACGCTGCCAGGGTGAGATTTTCCAGTGTATTTTACTTCAATTTTCTCAATTCGTGGATACAGAGATAGCTGTCTCTCTTTCTCCTTGGTAAAGAGCTCATTACGCATCTCAATCACTTCATCTGATGTCATTCGAGAAACAGTCGGTGTGGAGATGAACCCTGATAAAAGGAATGATCTAAAATAAGCATTAAGGAGTTTTTACAGCCTCTTTGTTTCTACGGAAAGGAAGACATGTCACTGCACTGCTAATCCATGTGTCTGTCTCAACACGCGTAAGGTGAACACTTCAGCAGCTCTCACTGCCTGTCCATTCTTGGTCCCTGCAATGCCTGCATGAAGTCACAACAGAAAACTCGGAAGCAACGGCATCTTAATGACGTTCTCTGGCTGCAAAGGCCCTTCTCTCAGACAGGCCAAACGCCCCTACGGACCGCGCCCACTCTATGCCACCGCACCTGC